AACCGCTATTTTCACAGCCCAAAACCATTGAAAGTGCAACAAATCATACATAATCTGAAAGAGGACACTTTGGGCTTTCAGCATATGTGCTTATCTCAAAATCGATTTTTTTCAAAAAAAAATCAATTTTCTGAGGGGGGGTTCCCCTTAACGGGATTCTCTTGCGTTCGTAAAGCATCATCATATCTTTCCTCGTTTGGAAAGAGTCACTAGCATGTTTGCTAGAATATTCATCTTTCTTCATGCATTTCTATTGTTTTAGGATGATTCCTTGAGTGCTATCAATTAAATACTTACTGTTTCGAAACAGTCGACATAGTGCGTAGAAAGTTTGATTAACAAAAAAGAACTTCAATAGTTTGTTCTTTGTACCTAGTGAGGCATGGCGAACATCAGAGCTAAACAACATTGTGTGAAATGCGACAATGATGCTGGTACTACTGTATGTGGTGGATGTCAGCAGTGGCTTTGTAATAATCATTTTGCCCAACATCGAGAGGATCTCGACGAAGAGCTGAATCGTATTGATCAAAAATGTTACTCTTTCGACGAAAAAATATCTGAACACAGTGTCATGGATGCATTTCATTCACGCATTAACGAATGGAAAAGTGCATCGATTAAAAAGATTGAAGATGTGACAGAACAAACTCGAACTGATCTAGATAATTATTTCAATAAGTCTAACACACGATTCAAAGAATTACTCGACAAAATAAAGAATGAACTAGCATTGAGTCGTGGATCAAATAATTATACAGAGATGGAATTAGAAAGATGGAATGACCGATTAAATAAACTTCAACAATTGCTTGAAAAACTATCGGCTATTACAATAGTCGGAGACGATCCAGTACAACCACGCATTCGTATCATTCTACCAGAAGGTATGTCAAAATACAATTATGGATTACATAATTTCTCTTTAAAGTCTCAACGTTAATATGAAACATCTGTGAGATCGTTGTTAAGCACTTTTGGTTGTCAATCGAATCGGGGTAGCCAAAAGTATGATTTAATACGATCTGCTGCAATATTAGAGTCAAAGCTATGAGTCAAATTTAATCGTGTCAACATTGATTGAATGCTTTGTTTGCTATCGTTTTATGTTTTATCCATATTCATTTCTAAATTGAAATGACATTTTTAGGCTTGCCATTATAAATTGTTCTCTTGCATCTCAGCATAGCTAACACTTATAACCTACTTTCAAAACTAGCATCACCACAAGCTTGCTTTCAAGTGGCTATATTTAAGTGATAAGAAAATCCTGTGACTCATATGCAATGTCTCATAAGCACAAAATACTCAATGATTTAGTTAGAAAAAAAATTCAGATCAAAGTACTGATGTACAAAGATTGCTTTGAGCATAATTCAAAGGAAATAGTGCTCATTTTATCTGATTTTGGATAAAATATTTTTGTGATAAAAACAGCGTTGCTAGCCAGAATAATTTCGTCAAAGACACAACTTGATGCACTATGTAGCAGGACAAACTTGTGGCAGCATTGACCTATCTATTTTATGTCGCCATTCTTCTTCTTGTTAATATCATCCACACTCACAATTCGTTCCATAAAAAATTTCCCAAGTCCTCAAGAGGTATTGCGCCTGCAAATATCGCACTACTAGTCCTGAGTTTGAAAATTAGTGACATGTCCAGAGACTCAATGATCTTATTAGAGCGTCGTAATAATATGATCTACCACAAAAACACTATATAAAGCAAAGAAGTTATTTCTAGTGCTACAGAGAAGCAAATTTTATATTCTAGCAGTAAGAAAACATCATGTCAATCACGGAAAAATGTTCAAAACAGACATTGTCACATGAATATCAGCCATCACAAATAATTCGTATGATCGATTATGTGATGTGAGGATGCAAAGTATTGCCTGTACTCAAAACTAGGCATGCACATATTTCAGTGTACCAATTAGTTCTCCACCTAATTGATATACGACTAACCAGGGAAAACTTGAGTCTACTATACGGCTCTCTGAAATGACAGTTTGTGGTAATTGAATAGAGATCAATAGAGACTTGGATGGGAGAAAACACTAGATACATTTAAAATTCAAGTATAGTTGATTTTCTACCACTCAAAAGCTTGAAGAATCAAAAGAATTTTATGGTTTTCATAAGTTTTTTGTATTATTTTTCAGTGAATTGGGGACAACAAGACCAAGAAAGTAGCAGTAGGAAAATAAATAGTTATTCCATAGCCAACATCACTCTTCTAAGTATCAAGGTGTCGTCATTAAAAGTTACAGTAAAGCACTAGTCTTCAATGAGAAATATAAATTCTAAAATTTGGAGAACTAGACGAATCGTAAACTCATATTCCTTACTCCATTACGATCTATTGCTATTCTGAACAGCTACCATAATAGGTTTTGTTTCGAGGGCTGGACCATATCCTCCTATCAAAGAGAAACTGTTCCACTTCGAGCAGAAATGCTTCAACCACATAAAGTCAGAAAGAAATGCTTTTTTACAAACACACTACCTTCATTCGACCACATCACTATAAGGGGGAAGGAACAAAAACTCAGAGAACTCCTCCATCCAAGTCTCCATTCACAAGCAG